CTCCCCCGGGGGGGGGGTGCCCCCCGTTAGGAAGGGGGCAGGGGCCCCCTTCTTAGGGGGGGGCTCCCCCGGGGGGGGGGTGCCCCCCGTTAGGAAGGGGGCAGGGGCCCCCTTCTTAGGGGGGGGCTCCCCCGGGGGGGGGGTGCCCCCCGTTAGGAAGGGGGCAGGGGCCCCCTTCTTAGGGGGGGGCTCCCCCGGGGGGGGGGTGCCCCCCGTTAGGAAGGGGGCAGGGGCCCCCTTCTTAGGGGGGGGCTCCCCCGGGGGGGGGGTGCCCCCCGTTAGGAAGGGGGCAGGGGCCCCCTTCTTAGGGGGGGGCTCCCCCGGGGGGGGGGTGCCCCCCGTTAGGAAGGGGGCAGGGGCCCCCTTCTTAGGGGGGGGCTCCCCCGGGGGGGGGGTGCCCCCCGTTAGGAAGGGGGCAGGGGCCCCCTTCTTAGGGGGGGGCTCCCCCGGGGGGGGGGTGCCCCCCGTTAGGAAGGGGGCAGGGGCCCCCTTCTTAGGGGGGGGCTCCCCCGGGGGGGGGGTGCCCCCCGTTAGGAAGGGGGCAGGGGCCCCCTTCTTAGGGGGGGGCTCCCCCGGGGGGGGGGTGCCCCCCGTTAGGAAGGGGGCAGGGGCCCCCTTCTTAGGGGGGGGCTCCCCCGGGGGGGGGGTGCCCCCCGTTAGGAAGGGGGCAGGGGCCGCCTTCTTAGGGGGGGGCTCCCCCGGGGGGGGGGTGCCCCCCGTTAGGAAGGGGGCAGGGGCCGCCTTCTTAGGGGGGGGCTCCGCGCTGTGAAACACATACACGTGAATAAAGCACACACACGAACGGCCCTCCCCCGTCCGGCCCCCCCACCCCACCCGCCCCCCCTCCCTCCCCCCCGGGCCCCGTCCGGAGGAGGGGGCCCCCGGGAGGGGGCGGGCCGGGACCCCGTCCGGGGGAGCGGACCCGAGGGAGGGGGGCGGAGCCAGGAGGAGGGGGGCGTGCCCCCCCTCCGCCCCGCCCCCCCCCGGGACCCCCTCCTCCGGAGGGGGCCCTACCTACCCCCCCCCCCCCCCCCCCCCAGGGACCCCCTCCTAATGAGGGGGCCCCTTCCTAACCACCACCCCCCCCCCCCAGGGACCCCCTCCTAATGAGGGGGCCCCTTCCTAACCCCCCCACCACCCCCCGACCCCCCTCCTAACGAGGGGGCCGCTGTGACCCGCACCCCCCGCCCCAGGACCCCCCCAGTGTGATGTAGGGACAGCCGGAACCCCGGCGGTGTGGGGCGGTGCTTGAACTGGAATGGGGGGACCCGCAGAGCGGCTCCGCCCCGTGTGGGGACCCCAGCGAGGGCGGGGGCGCCGGGCTCCGGCCCTCAGGGCTTTATTATTGCCCGGCACCCCGAGCCCCGCGGCTGCGAGGAAAGAAAAAGAGAGAGAGAGAGCGATAGCAGGAGATGGAGACTGGAAATAGGGGGGGGCAGAGGGGCTAGTCGAGAGGAGGGTGACAAGGACAGAGGGCAGGTGCGGAGAGACTGGGGTGTGCAGGGCACCAGGGGCCGGGGGAAAGGCAGGGTGGAGAAAGGAAGGATGGAAGGCAGGTTGAGGGGAAGGAGGAGGAAGGTGTGGGGGAGAAGGTGTCATGGAAAGCGGGCAGGTGGAGCCGGGGTAGGGGTGGAAGGGAGAGTGGAAGAAGGAGAAGAAGGACGGAAGGCAGGTGGGGAGAGACTGCGGGGGGACAGGGGAGCCCGGAGAGGGGGTAGAGAGGAGGGCGGCTGGGGAGGGAGGGACGGGTAGAAGCAAGAGGGAGAGGATGGAGCAGTAGGGTAGGACAATAGAGAGGAGGGGCGGGGGGCGGCCGTAGGGGGGGAGGGAGGGGAGGGCTAGGGGGGAGAGGGGGTTGGGGGGGGGGGAGGGTGTAGGGGGTGGGGGAGGGGAGGAAGGGAGGGTCGAAAGGAGAGGTATAGAGAAAAAGAAACACAAAAGAGGAGAAAAAGAGACACAAAAGAAAAGAAACGCAGCAGAAAAATAAAAGGAAAAAGAAATATAGAGGCCGGCCGGCCGCAGCCTTACTCACCGAGCGCCGAGGAGCAAATGGCTCCGCTGGGCCCTCTCCGCGGTTTAAATCCTCCAAGCGCCGCCCCGCGTAACCGCTCTGCAACCCCCTGCACCTGTGCACGTGTAACTCGCCACACCTGTGCCGGCCCCGCCCCTCGCCCCTGTGCCGGCCCCGCCCCCCCCGGGGCCCCGCCCCCCCCGCGCCCCTAAATCCCGGCGGATCCGCGCCCGGCCCGCTTTTTGTGGTGGATGCTCATCTCGGCGTGTGGCGGGACCGTCGCTCGGCGCTGTGCGGAAACTCGGAGCGGGGGCCGCTCCCGGCGCTGCGCGGAGCCCGAGGCGCTCTGGCGGGGCCAGGACCGGGATCTGGGCTCGGGGATTCGGGTCCTGGTCCCGCCGGTGCCTGCTGCGGAAGCTGGGCAGAGCCGCTTCTTCCCCGGCGGGCGGTGTGCGAGTCCCAGGGCCGGACGACCGAGGTGGGATTGGGGCTGGGATCGGGACTGGCATCGCCGCGGGCGGGAAGAGCCGCTCCGGGACGGGTGCTGGGACTGAGCCCGGCGCTGCCACACCTGCTCCGGCCGGCGCGGGGCTGGGGTCCCGCCGGGGCTCCGGGGCCGCGGGGAGCCGGGGCTGTGCCGCTGCCGGGCCCGCCAGGAGGACGGCGCTTTTCCCTGGAGCAGCCGCCGGATCGCAGCTGGCAGCGGGCTGGACACGGAGACCGCCCGTGCCGGCCCCGCCGCTCCCTCCGCGGCGACAGCGAGCCCCCCCCTGGCCCCCGAGGCAGCGCAGCCCGCGGGGCGCAGCGGAACGAGCGGGGCTGGGGCGCCGCGGGCAGAAGGAGCCGGTCCCCCTCCGTCGCTCTCGACCGCGCCCGGGGTGAGAGCGGGGCCCCGCTCGGGCCGCTCATCCGACACCCGCCGGGTGAGACCTGATGCTCTCCTTCCTCTCCCCCGCTTTCTCTGTGGCTCGCTCTACCCAAGTTTAGAGGGAGAGGGACGTGGGAGGAAGGGGCAGAAAAAAAGGAATACAGGGAGAAGGAAGGAGGGCTAGGTGGGCAGGGCGGTTTTGGGGGGGGCAGAGGGACGGGGGAGAAGAAAGGGGAATACGAGGAAAGGAGTGGTAGAGGGGAGAGAGGAGCAGTGGTTTTTGGGGGGCCGAGGAAAGGGAAAAAAGGGGAGGAAAAAGGGGAATACGGGGAGAAGGAAGGAGGGCTAGGTGGGGGGGAAGGCGCGGAGGTTTTGGGGGCAGAGGGAAGGGGGAGAAAGAAGAGGAATACGGGAAGGAGGGGGAGAGGTGGGGAAGCCGAAGCCCCCACGACTCACCTGGGAAGCCGGGACAAGGAGCTCCTACCCTCACCGCGCTCATAGTGAGTGAATGGCCGACGGGCGGTTGCCGGCGTTTAAATCACCTCGGCCCCACCCCGCGCACCTGTGTCGGGCCCGCTCCTGAAGCCGCCTGGCCCCGCCCCTGATGTCGCCCGGGCCCTGCCTCCCGGGACTCTCCGGGGTTCCGCGTTAGAGTCAGCTGTGCTTAATGTGCAGGTCAGTGGCAACACCTGGATTTATCTCTTCTATCCCCAGAGCCAAGCAGTCAGTCCGGCATTCCTGTCTACTCTGATGCCAGCCACTGTCTTGTGTTCCAACTCATTCCTCAGATGGAAAAGGTCAGGGAGGAATGTCAGGAAGCATATTTAATAGAGAAGGAATCTCGAACTGTGCTCAAGTACTGCCCTAATCTTCCTCAGGACTGGGACCATAACTGCTGAATGCTACTGGCAGTGAGGCTTCTTCCCAGCTGGGTGACGCTGTATCCCAGGCTCCGCGGCGTGGCTGGATGCAGGCTGGACACGCAGGTAAGGCTAGGGCTCAAAAACTGTTGGCGGTGAGGTGAAAGTTTGTTTTGGCAAGTGGTGTCATCTTGCTTGGATGCTGGGGAGCAGGCTGGGGCAGAGCTGCAGGTCAGTGGAACCAGCCCTGCTCCAACAGTGCTGTCACCATGTCACTGCACTGGGGCAAGCACAAATCTGTCACCTTTAATCTGCCAGAAAACAGATGCAACTCAGACATTATAGATTAGGCATGCAACATGTCATAGGTAACAAAATTAATTAGATAGCAGTGTATATCAAATAAGTTTTTGTAAGTAAAAAAGAAATCACAGAAACAATTACTGAGGAACACGTCTGCAGGCTCCGGTCTACAGCTGGTGGGGTTTTCTCTTACACAGCAGCAGCCAAATTCACCATGTGTAGAAGGACATGTGTAGTGGGAAGGAGTAAATCCCATTAACTTTATGTTCAAACCAGGTCTGCCTTCCTGGTGGTACAGAAAGTGCCTTCAGAGTCAGTACTGTTAGAAATGAACAACCCCAGTGTTAATTAGGTTCATTAGCAAGTGCACACAAACAGGAGCCAGAACAGAGCTGTGTTCCAGAGTGCCAGATTTCATTTGGAGTGCCTCCATTGCAAACAGGAATGCAGAAAGGATGAAAAACGAATCACTGTACAGAGAGAATGACAGGGTTCAGCATGTTCTCCTAAAAGGCTAAATGCCAGCCCCAGCCCAGATGCTTTGTAGCACATGTACAGCTTGGCAGTAACGAGGCAGTTTCAGAGATCTGGACATGCTGTGTCAGGGCTCTGCTGTGCCTTGACACTCTTCTAGTACTAATACAAAAATGCAACATCCAGCCCGTACTTCTGGATACAGAACAACAGTGATGTGCTTAATGAAGAGAGTTGCTTTTGAGAGACAGCCTGTGGAGGTAAAGCTTCCAACAGAGCTTTCTCCTACTGTCCTGGTTTAGGAACACAAGGCTCAATGTGCTTTGAAAAAAAGTCTGGTATGAAATTAAGAAAAATGCTCATTTTTCCAAGTATATGATATTTAATTGTAATGAAATAAAATCTGAAAATGCTTAAATCAATTAAGAAGTAAACATGAGTTGTAATACTATACCTGTAAAATTATTAATCCCGTTCATTGCCATTAGAAATTGTGTAAAATATTTATTAAGGGCTTTGCCTACAGAGGCACAACATAAATAGAGCAAGTCCTGCTGAAGTGTGATCAGTTCACAACTGGTACGGGAACATCAGCAAGGCCACCCCAGGTGCCAGCCCCAGCCTCGGGGCTCGGCCCCCGCACTGCCGGGCTCTGCTCCAGAGCCAGCGCCGGGCAACTGCTGTGCCACAAGCCCTCGAGTCCCTCGGGCAGGTGCCAAAGCCAGCAGAACGTGCTTGGAGAGGGAATGGCTGCTGCCACGTTAATCCACCCCCTCAAACCCTTGGGCATTCTCCACGGCCATGAGGAGCTTCTCCCGCAGGTCCTCGAAAGATTCATACAGAGGTAAGTCTAGGCGGTTAAAGCTGGAAGGGACAAGCAAAGGGTCACTCAAATAATCTATGGAAAACAGAGTTTTAAAGAACTAGAAAATACTAAATAATTAGGAGTCTTGATTAGGAATACAGCTTGTGGTCCACAGTGTTCCCTGCATGCTTCACACCTGCCCAGGGTGAGCTCTCCAGTAACTGTGTGCTGCCTTCCTTTGGAAAGCTGGAAGCAGGAATTTGGTAAGAATCATTTCAGACAGGAAAAAAGCCAACAGAAAGCCCTTCACTGTATTTAGATGATGGAAAACAATCTTTGTCAAAGGACTGATTTCTTGAAGCTCAGCAAAGATATTCTGGATTCAGTGCACAGATCCTTTGCTCTCTGGAGGGGAAAAAGATTAAACATCCAAGAGTAAATCTTCCAAAGGTAAAAGCTAGCAGAGAACTGGAACCCAAAGAGGATGGGTTGATTTTGGGGCGTGTTTGGGGTAGTATTGTTGTTTGTGTTTGGTAGGTTTTGTGCTTTTGTTTTCAGGCTTGGTTTTTTTTTTTTTAATTTAAGCTCATTATTCTATAGAATTATTAGTTTCACAGAAAGATCCCCTAGTCTGTACTGACAGTCTATTCAGCACCATTTTTCTTTAAAAAGCCACATTTCTGAAATGTAACAGAGCAAGACAAATTTGTACTGGATGCTTTCAATGTTTGCAAAATCTATAAACCAAGGTTAAATTATTTTATAATCTTACATTTGTTTTCAATTCTCCAATGATTTATGGGCTTTTTATGGCTGTTTGGTGATGTCTGACTCGCTGTAGTTCATTACATCCACTTACTAGGATGTGGGAAATAAAATAATATCCTTCAGTTTCTCAGTTTGTGAAGGCACTAGGGACCCACAGAATTAAATGCTGTTTGATGCAGAGCTGAGAATGGTCAGCAGCATGGCCCTTTTGGCAGGAGCAGCTCTGGAATTCATGCTTTGGTGACTTACCAGGTGTGAGCCCGGGGCAGTTTATCAGGACTTCCCCACTGCTCTATTGTAAACAGCTGAGGACCATTTGAACCTGGGTGAAAATGAAAACCATATGAAACAGAAACTGCTGGACGCTACAGAGCTTGCCTCAATATTATTTTTAACATGAAATGTTGGCATCAACTGTGGGCTGGATTCTTCACCTGTAACAGGTACATTAAAGCAACATGAATGTGGTTCTTTCTTTCCAAGCCCAGTGAGCTGGTTTCAGAGCTTGCATAATGCCAAGGAGCATTGAGATCAGCATTTGCAGCTGAGTGCTGTGTGTGCATCAGAGGCTGGCTGGATTGCCACGAGCAGCTCACCGTAAAGTTCAGCAAATCCGTTCATAGGCACGCGTGACGTCCCGGTCACAAACTGCAGGAGCCGGATCCGTTTCTCAGCATCCATCAGCAGAACAGCCTGTTGGCAAATGGACACCGTCAGCCTCAGCCTCCTACCCTGGCCTGGATGGGCCCTAAGAGCAGCCCAAAGCCAGCAGCAATCTCCTTTTGTATGAGCCATCCCTCTGGACACAATGGATTGTCTCTGCTCCAGGTGCCATCTGCGGGCTGCTCTAGCAAGAGCTACACCTGCCCTCGCCTGAGTGAGATGGGAGCAGGTCCTGCCCCCAGCACAACTCTCCCCATTCTTAGCAGTTTGCATGAAGAAAAATGATTGCAAAAAAGGGCAATAACTTTCACTTACAGGACCAGTCAGAGGTGGTGCCAGTCTTACCTTCCAGAACCACTGGATAACAGGATGATTTGGGCAGTAACCATTTTTGTAGATGGTGTGTTGTCTCCAGTCATTGACATCCACATCGCCAAGGCCACACATCAGTAACTGCAGGGAAACACAAGGGTGGGATGTGAAGGAGTGTGTGCTTCCCTGCACTCACGGGGTGACAAGGTGTCACTGCCCCTCAGGACTCTGACCTCCAGTCATTTATGCACATACAGGGGACAGACAGAGCTTCTTCAGAGTACTCCAGTCGCTGCAGAACGGCTGCACGCTGCCACAATGTGACAGCAACTTCCATGTGTTTGGCTCAAATGTGACTGGCTGAGGCATGATGGCACTTACCCACTAAGCTACTTCCAGGCTTTCAGAGGCACACCCTCAACCACCTCCCTAGTGCAGTTCTTTGCATGCCATGAGTAGATTTATTAATTAGGAAGAAACATCTAATTTCCAACTCTGAGCAAGACAGCTGTGTCTGCACATTCCCGTAGGGAGAGGGATGGATGACTGAAGAGTCCAGAACATGGTGCATCTGTCACAGAACTGTCAGCTTGGGGCACCAAATGGACTCACCTCCAGTTCATTTTCATCAAAAATTTTAATCAGATCAATAGGAAGCAGCTCTGTGAATCCCTAAAAAGAAAAAGAGCAAAGTTAAAACTCTCATCCCACATAAATCCTAATTAAAAGCATCAATGACCAAATTACTTCAAGCTCAAATAATTAAACTTGAAAGAGAATGACCTTATTCTCATAAGGCAAAGATGATATATTCTCACACAAGATAAAACTGAAAAATCATAAATGTAAGTATTCTATGTGCATTCCCTGCAAGCTCCCTGCTCCCTTTTCACAGACACCAGTGGGTAAGAAATCAGTGTTAGAAAAAAAATCCCTACTTTTGTGAAAGAAAGGAGCTAAAGAGCCTCACCTCCAGAAAGGCATTCATTTGTTTCTGCACTCTGTTGACAAACCGCCACTGGATGACCAGGCTGCAGAAAGAAACAAAACCCCATCAGAAAAACAAACTCATTAGCAGGTCTCAGCCAAGTGTTCAGGTAACTAAGCAGCTTTCACCAGCTGTTCCAATTCATTGGCTGGTGACTGATGGAATTTTGAAGAAACAAACCAAAAGCCCCAGTGACTATGACCAAATCACAGTGGGAATATTTTCGCTCCTGTAGGTACCTAAGTGAGCAGACATTTTATTCTTCCAGAGCACTGAGTAATTAAAAATTCCCAGCAAAGGCTACAAGCTCTGAGGAGAGCTGTCAGGACAGCATCTCACCTATAAATACAGAAATAAACTGCAGCGTCAAAGGGACACCTTGCTTTCATTACCAGTCACCCACAGCACAAACACCTCACAGGTGCTGGCACAAAAAATCAGTTCCAGGCATGGAATTGGTCCAGATCCAGGCACTGGAAATGAATTCCCAATTTGCATGAATGTATCAATTTTAATGTCTTTTACCTTGGAAAAGGCCCTGATTTAAAATGCCAGCAGGTATAAGTGAATTTAGCATTTTACATCCTGGTAGGCGAAAGAACTGGGAAAGCTGAAAATAAAACCTAGTTTCACATTTGGCCAATGTTTGCTAGGAATGCTGGCACTGGAATCCTGGCTCTGGTCTGTGACTGGCAGAGGAGGACAATGCGGTGAAGGTCAGGCTGGAGAGCACCTTCTGGCTCATGTGAACTCAAGCCAGATGTTGGAGATGCACGTTTCCATGGGGGGGGAATTCCAGGAGAACAAAGCATGGAATTTAATTAACTCTTTGTTCTTCTGTCTGACTGGATATAACCAATGATTAACAGTAAGTTGTTTTTTTTCCAGCAATATCGGATGCTCTTGTCCAGTACAGAGGACAGGAATTGCAGCAGGGTCAATTGTAAGTACAACTGCTCTTTCTTCCCCCCAGGCATGTTCCATAATGATACTTACTCAATGTATTCCCTCTTGTTTTCATTTGTTACCATGATTTCGGACCCATTGGGCTTCAGGTCCACTTGATATGTCTGTATTTCACAAGACCAAAAAACCTCCTGTTATTTGAGGACATTTGGGACTTTCTCCCAGAACCCACTCTCCCTGAGCAGCATTTTACAAGCAGTATCAGGAAATCATTAGTAAATTGATTTACACTTTTGAACAATCTTGCACAACAGAACAGAAAACTGGCAGAGAGAGGCTGGCCATTTACTAATAATATTATTTATAATAACAAAATTATATATTTATATAACCACTAAGTACATACTTTACATATACAAAATTGTAATAGTTTTTATAATAAAAGAAGCTACATCACATATTGAAACTGCTAAAGCCAACCAGTGTATTACAAAACCTCTCTATTCTGTGGCTTCAATACTCTCCCTAGTTCTCCATGTAATCCATAACCTTATGTTGCTTCAGGAGAAAGGCAGTACACACTGAAAAGTGGATCAGAATGTTTTTGACAGGACATTGAGTGCATAGTTTGAATTGCTGAAGTAAGTTCTTATAAAAAGCCCTATAGTCCCCAGGTCCAGTCGTACCTGGAGCCAGGATCAAGGTCTCAGAAGTAAACTAAGTGCAGACACTAAAAAAGGTCATAAAAGCCTCTAAGCAAATTAATTTAATGTCTACAACATTTTCATTTGTAATGGCAAAAGTCACCCATTGACTGTGACCCTTTTAAACCTGGCAGCTTCCCCCTGTCATACCAGCTGCCCCTGCGACAGGCAGGACAGAGAGGACCTCCCTGGCATCATTCTGCCACTCTCCTCTGAGAACACCTTTGACCTCAGAAGCCAAGCAGTCCCTGGGCTTGCACCATGTCCCAGCTGGACTGTGGGACAGCTTTATTCCTCCTCATTGCAAGTGTTTAACTCAGCTGCATTTCCAGCTTGTCCCAGAGATGTCACAGCTCCCTGGTGGGAATGTGGCACCCCCAGTCCCAGCTGGGAACACAGCGAGGTGAAGGCTCATCAGTGCATTCACCACCACCAGACTCTGCTCAGTACTGAGGTAAGAACCAGTTCTAAGATGTAAATAACCTTTACATACCTGTCCAAAGTTTTCCTCGTCTATGCAGAACATGAGATCCAGCTCTGTAGGGTCATTTTCCAGGATCCACTTCAGAGAGTTGTAGTATTCACTATCCTAGGGCAGATCGCAATTAGGCAGTTTGAAAATGGGCAATTAGTGCAGAGTTGTAGAAACCCATGGCCTGTGAGATGTGGCAAGGGTTAAATGGGGTCTTACCACTGATTCCATGTCCTTCAGTGTTATGGGCTTGCCCAGCATCATCTTGTAGAAAGGTCTGATGAAGAAGCCTGTGAGAGAGAGGAGAGCGTTACATGCCCCTGCTCTGCACCTGCACATTCCATAAAGGTACCACTGCTTGAGGGCACCACCCCTGGCATTTCCTCTTACTCCTGACTGTAACAGTCCTGCAACTGCAACAGCATCAGAGCAGCTCAGGTTTCTGGAGGCACAGAAAGTCCAGTTTTTCAGTTTCTACAATTATCCACTAACTACCATACTCCAGTGACCACCCTAACATTAGTGGCAGAGAGAGAGGGGGACCTGAGCTCAGGACACACTATCCCATTTAAAATCACTGCTCCTCTCTCCAAGGAGCTGCCTGAAAACCAGGCTGCTGAGCTTCCTCTGCTCAGGATTCCTCCGTTTCCCCTTCTGCACCAGGGCTCAGGAAAATCTGATCAGTAATGTCTGCCTGGTGTGACATTTCAAAATGCAGCAGAAATTGTAATTAAATCCTTCAGCAGTAATTTTACATATCAAAATATGCTGCATTTGACCCCCCTAGTTTGGCTGCAGGTTTTCATGGAAATGACTGATACAAATTCCATGCTTTTGCTCGAGGGACAGTGCTCATGCTGGTTCTAGAGTTTTAACTTGAGTGGAGAATGGAGCAAAACTTTGTACAAAACCCACTTGTTGAGTAAGCCACTGTAATTTTGTGAATCACCATTTAAGTCTCAACAGTGCCAGTCCCAGACTGTCCCCAGGGCTCCCAAGCAGGTGCATTTCCTTCCCCAAAGCCCAGCGGCAGCAGCAGCAGAGCAGGACTCACCGTCCAGCAGCTTCCCGTGGTACACGGCCAGGCCAGCCACCCGGCCAATGAACGTGAAGTACGACAGATGGTCTTCGTTACAAAGACCTGAATTAGGATTAATCTGAAGTGTATAGTTGTCCCTTTTTTGGGGAAAGAAAAAAGATAGCTAAAGAACCAAGTCTTTAAATAAGCACATACTCAGATATGTTAATAAATAACTTGTGCTCGGCGGCATGTCCCTTCAACAGCGCCATGGGGCTGTGTCCAAGTCCTTTCCAGTCCGTCCCATCACGGAGCCACTGAGGGCTGAAGGGCTGCCCCAGCAGCAACCCAAACCCACTGTGAGCAAGAGATGCCCTCTCCCCTTGCACTAATGCATTGCTCCAAGATTTTAAAGCTGGGCAGCCCCCATTTCACACTTCTGGGAGGCCACTGCTGTGTGAACGAGCAGCTGCATTCTGAGCTTGCTCTACAGCAGTGCTGGAGCTCTGGGCAGCAGAGGAAAGGGGCTCTTCTCTGACATTGGTCCCTTCACCATTACTGGCCTTAAAAACTGCAGTTTTGCTGCCCTGGATATTGTCTGAGCAATGGAAATATTTTCTGGGTTCTCAAGGAGAACTCCAGAGGCTCTCTGAAGGGCAGCAGGAACAGGGCACCCCGGGAAGGAGGAGCTACTTCTGCCCAGAGCAACTTTGCCTCTTATGCAAAATGTAAAGTACATCCCTTGAGAGTACAAATATTTAATGGACACTTACGTTGCTGAGTATTCAAAGAGACCATAGTAAGGGTTAAACATCTCCTTGGACAAGAGAAAAAACCATTCTCTGGCCACACCTCCATAGTCAAGTCCTTTTTCTGACTCAAATTCAATCCAGAGCCTGGCTTTTAGTACATCAGGTCTCTTCACAGACATGATTCTTCTGTAGGACTCCTCAAAAATGTTATTTCTGTGTAATTTCATCTCAAATCTGTTGGGTATGTCAGCCTGTTGAAAGGAGATTAGATTACCCTTGTTAGTCTCAAGAAATAAGTCTTTGGGCAAATTACTGGTTGACAACAGCCCAGTGACAGCTCAGAAACCTGGTGCTCCAGTACCCCATGGTTTTATTTCCCAGTGCTCTCCCAGTCCACAGGCTGAGAGCATGGGGGAAACTGGGCCAGTTCCAGAACAGTGCTGCAGATTTCTATGGTACATATTTGATGAAAATAACAAAGTATCAAACAAACAAAACAAAAAAGGAGAAACGTTGACTGTGCTCTATTTTAAGGGCATTTGCATTTATCTAGAAAAATGTGAGGCTTAAAGACTTAGAAAAGCTTTTTGTTGAGAAACCCATCAAATTCAAACTTTGCTTCATGTTTTTGGCTCCTACTTGAGCCCCTGATGAGCAGCACAATGGAGTAACCTGGCAGGTGTGTCCTGCAGCCCCCGAGCTGGTTCTACTCACAGGTTTCTTTAGCTTCTTGCGGAAATAGTCGTATTTCTGCTTGAACTCCCTGGAGTACGGCACCGCCTGTTGGGAGCAGTGGGAGGACATGTCATTCCTGCTGCTCAGCACTCTGATACCCCACAGCATTCAAAAGGGATGAACAACCCACACACTGTGCTATGGGCTCCCCTGAACCCACCCATGAGGCACAGCAGCCAGGAGAGATTTAAAAATCCCACAAAATGACATCATTTTACTCTGATCATTTTACTGATGTTAATATGACTTTACTACAGCCATTTAATAATATTTCTACATGTTTCCTTTATTTAAACACTATGTGAAATGCAATTTAAGTAATTCTGTTTGCCATGACACCAGAAATATATTGAAAGCATTCAGATGAATCCTTAGTGCCTCTGTGAAATTGATTAGCTCCTGCTTTCTCTTAAAACCAACAAACAAACCACTGTCAGTTGCTCAAGGGGACCATGATAATTTCATTTCCTTCAAACAAACTTTCTCAAATAGTCTCTCTCATTTGTGCTCAGCATTTCTGGGGAGAGGCCTGTTAGCAACTTGCACAGTGCTCTGTGTGAGGATCTCCAGTTTTAAATGCCTGATAAATGAGTAAATCCCTCCAAAAGCAACTATGGTCAAAAAGTGACTATTATTGATATTATTACTAAGCAATTGGAATTTAACCCTGCAGCAGGCTCATCTGCTGTGTCCTGAAACTCTTACAAGTCCCAAGGACTTACGCAGAATAAAAAGGTACTCTTGGTACCAGGAAACATCTTGGGATTGAAGTCTGATTACTCAGAATACCATAAAATGGCATAGACTGGCACCACCCAGCAGAAAAAGTCAAAGAATCACGCTTTGATATTTTTAAAATTTGATACTGAAGTAAAATGCTGTGTTTATTTTTTCCTAAGGCTGATATTCTGAAACCCCTGTTTATCTGCAGAAAGCTTTATGTCTCTTAAAACTGACAGACCCAATTTTTTGTCCTATTTTTCCCACACTTTGAATCTACATAGGCCCACCTCTCGCCTGCCAAATGCAAAGAGCTTTTCACTGGCCAAAGATCCCAAAATCAACAGAGCAGTGTGTCAGCTCAGTAAAATCCTACTGTCAGTAGTGACCCCGGTCATGGGTCAATAGGAGCACTTCTCCACGACCATCCCCAAACCCTGGACAATCCGGGGGACTGCCCAGAGCTTGGTGTGACATTCCCAGCTTTTTCCAACTTAGGATGTGGACTGTCAGAGCTCCTGCTCCCCAGGCTGCCAACCCCTGATCTGGGGAGCAGGCAGGGCCTGCTGCTGTTCCAGCTGTACCCAGTCAGGATATTTCATGGAAGCAGTACTTACTGGGCCTGTGATTGCTGGGTTCTGCAGTCTGGGGTCTTCCCACTGGGTAATTTTATTATCTGCAAATAACAAAAGAAATGATCCCATGGCTTCTCTGGTACCACACTGTGAATTTCTGTTGGTTTTTTCTCCCTAGCACTGCTCAGGTCTGTCAGGGTTAGCAAAGGCTTGTGTCTCCCCACCCTCCCCAGCTCCAACACACTGTTTAGTTGAAAACATTCACTCAAAAACACAGAACTACCCCAAAACCCAGGGAACCTGCACTGCTTTGATGGCAACATCTGCAGGAGTGAGTGAACATGTTCATTTGAACATGGGCTAGGATTGGAGATGCACAGCCCAACAGGTAAAGGAACCCACAACTTTTGGCAATGACACCCTAGGTTACTTGGGAAATTTTGCATAGACAGTTGAAGTATCATACTTCTAGATTTGGAGGGAATAACATTTTTCCTAGGCTCTGATTTAATGAGAGGGTAAAGGGAGGCAGAACTGTCCTGTTTTGGTGCAAGAAAATCACCCAGTTATGACCAATGGAGATGCTGGCAGTGGCACAACACAGCCCAGTTCTTTCCATCTACAGCTTTGAAGAGCACCAGGAGGGTGACAGGAAAGGTTCTACAGGACCACGGTGGGACTCCCCTTCCCTGCCTCCAGACAGCTGCTCCTCCCAAGATTCTGAACACGACAGAATCACAACAAAACAATGGTGTTGCAACAATAAGACAATGCTCCAAACCCCATCCCAGGTGCCACCTGCAATGGCGAGGTGTTGGCCACCCTTGGCCTGCCATCCCTCTGTTTGTTACAGACACTGCTCTGGGTTAGGAACTGGGTATGAGGAATCAAGATTGCATTTTCCACGTCTCTGGAACTGGAAAATCCCTGTAAGTTTGCATCCCAAGTTGGTTTAAGAGGGACTGGGATCTGAAAGGTGTCATTCAGCAAATGTTAACTGGAGAAAATTCTACATGATTGCAAGCACATTTCAAGACATTTGATCTATTAGTTAATTTAATAGTAAAATACTGTTTCATTTCCCTTCACACATTGAAGCTATTTATCACTTATGGGAATGCTGGAGGGCTGCCAGCCTGAGCTCCAGAAACCCCAGAGATGCATGGAGCAGAGCTGCTGCTAAGCTGGACACCCAGACCCACCCTTTCTCTTTTCAACCCCTATACTGGAATTCCCTTCTACAAAGTTCTCTGGTCACCTTCTTGACACCAGCAGCCACAAACCACAGTGCCAGTTTTCTGTGAAATCAGAGGTAACTCAAGTGGAAGTGACTGACAGTGTGTCAGCTCTTTGCTCTCTGTACTTCAGGGTGTGCGATGACACCAACGAATCTCAGTCTAACTTTCTCTTCAGTCTTACAGGGACTTCATACTAAAAATGGTTTTCCAGGGCTACAAGGGTCTGGCATGAACCACTTCACCTGGAACTGTAGCTCAGGATTCTCTGTCCTATCCCAAGTGGATATGAATAACAAACTTATTCTTTTTGAAGAACATTTTCAAAAATTTCAAAAATTTGAGTCTTCCCACCAATACAATTCTCTGTCATAAACCAGGCTCCCAGGCCTTCGAGGATTCCCTCTTCTCCCTGCCTTTCCAATGGGGCCGCTATTTCCCTGAAGTTTGGGACCCGCTGCCAGATACAGAACTCCCACAGCCAGACATTCCCAGAGCTGATGGCATCAGAAGGGTTACTCCAGGTTGGATTTAGGCACTCCTGTCAATACATCACAGGGTGAGATAGCTCATGACCAGGTGATGGTATTTTTCATGCCCTTTTCAACCCAAATTCTGCTAATTACTCCCATTCTGAGTAACACTTTGCAATTCTCCTTCCACAGCCTCTTCCTGCACACTGCAGTGGCCATTTCCAGACTCACTCTGACTCCCCATCCCATTCCAGTGAGCTCCTCTCCCCTCTCCTGCCTTGCTGCTTCCTGCTGAACTAAGGAGCACTTCGCCCTAATTCCCTGTGTAAATCACTGATGCATATTGTGAATATCACCATGTGCAGGTGGATGTGGACAGACTCTGAGGGGAGCACACTCAGTGTATCCATCCTCCCTGCCCATGAATCACGGGTTCAGAAAATGGTTGCAGAATGGTTGTTTTCCCTTCTGATCCCTTCCAACAGGCAGACAGCACATTCCTGGGAGGCTCCCAGGAATGGCAGCAATGTGCAGGGAACAGGGAACACCAGTGTGTCCTAGGAAGGCAAGGGCCCAGAGAGCCAGGGGGAGGTGTTCACTGCCACACCCAGCCTGTGGTGCCAGTAACATCAGGGTGCTGCATCAGTACTCAGGGCTCCTGGGCCCTGGGCACAGCACAGGGGCTGTGCTGGCCGCAGGGGACTTTGGCACTTTCTTCCAGGGATGAGGAAAACATCTCAAAAATAGGACAAGCAGCGCTGGAGAACTATGCAGCAGAGGTACAAAACGTAGCAGAGAAGCAGGACATGACCAGCAGCTGACTCTGTCACCCTTGTCCTGCTGGTTTTGTGTCCTGGCAGTGGCACAGCCCCTGGCCCTCCTTCCAGGCCCCCCAGCCCAGCCACCACGGCAGTGCTCAGGCACCAGGCTGGGACCAAATGGACATCTGCTAGAAACAGGCAGCATTACCAAAAGCTTCCCTGAACTTTTGTGAAAAATGCTATATAAGAAGCTAAATCCACTCAGATCAAAAGAGACTAGAGGGAGAATTCAGATGCACATAAATTTTGCTTCCTAACAAATTCTTTGAGGAATTCTAATTAATGTATGACTTTAACATTCCATTTTAGAGACTAACATATTCTCAAATAGCTTTAGGACACTGAAAAATTAAAGAGTTTTAAGACATTGGGAGGCTCAGCAGTTACACAGGTGTTTTAAATGGGACAGATTTATCCTGTGACTCCTTAGTGGCAGCAGTTTAGAATCATTGGCCATAGTTATATTTCCATATCTCTGTTGGGAAAAACAATTACAGAAGGGATAAAGGATAATAACTCTGTACCAAAGTTTGGAAGAGAGGTTCATCAGACACTTATCAAGTGTGTTATTTTTAATGTTTAGTTAAAAGTATTTATACCATTTCAAAACTAGTATTTCTTTAAAAGCAGTCTTTTAATAATGACTTAATATTGTCATCTCTAAGGATAAGCGTGGGAGTCAGCGATAATGAGGGACAAACCTAATTCTGTCAAACATGGGTAAGTTTAGGCTTGAACTCTGTGTGCACGCTCCTCTGATGGTTATGAGAGTTAGCTATGGCTGTGAAGAAATGTCTTATTAGAAGAAGACCCAGCCCAGCCTTTGTGGGCTGCTTTGTTTCCAAACAACAACAAAACTCACACAGCAGTTCTGAGATGCTCTAGGAAGACAAATCTACAATGAAACATCACTTACACTAAAACTCCACTAACAGAACTGGAGAGTATTAATGGGCTGGTGCAGTTTCACATGCTCTAAATAGGAAATAAGATCAGAATCAGCACTGCCACAGACCTGAAAGCAGAGGAAAGTACTTCTCAGTGCTAATTGCTCCACTGCCTATATGTGGAGCTGTGGCTACAGGATCTTTTCTCATCTTATTTTCTATTCCTAGTTTATATTTTAATTTATTAAGTGCAAATAAGCCATGGGATCATCAACAACAACAACAACAAATCCAAAATATCAACAAGAACAAAATAAACCACAGAGAGGAAATGTTAATGCTTCACAAGTCAGAGAGGGACAAAGCTTGATGAGCCAATTAAAGCAAGCTTCCAGTGAATGTACAGTACCGTAGGAGGGCACTAAGTCTCTGGTATCAATGTCTCCACATATCAACACCTGGCTTCCTAAATGAAGAGTAAAATCACAAAGCTTTCACTTCAATACTTAGTACCTCCCTTTGTCTATTTGCTCTAGTGCCTGAGTGCTTACTTACTATGGTCTATATAAAATGTTCTTCCATCCAGGTGTATTCTTTCCTCCCAGCCAGGCTGGAAATGGGAAATAAAAACAAAGAAAAGAGAGAGTAAGTGAAATAGTATCAGTGTCACACAGCCTAAAGCATGTATTGCTCACACCTACTGGACTTGTCTCAAAGATGTTTATGAGGTAGGAAACCCCAAGTGACCAGATGGATAATGGCAAGGCCACAAATCCGGGCAGACTCAGACCTAGCTCTTACATAGGTGACTGCATCCTGTGCAGGGAATATTTTTATAGTGGAAACCTCTTGCCTCAGGATTCCCACCCATCTCCTCTGTGAGCAAACAATCACAGAGAACAGATGGTCCATCTTAGTTGGAATGTTTCTGCTCCTACTTCTGAAAGCCATGTGGGTTATTTACTGTAAATGTGTAACCCAGGCTCCCTGTGCAGTGGGACAAGAATGTCCTAACCTAGTCCTCAGTGCTTCCCTTTTCGTCCCTTCCCTTTTCTCACGTCCCAAGGGCCTGCAGTGCAGAAAGGAGAGTTGGTGGCAGGCTGTAGGGACAGGTAAAGCTGGCCAGCCTGGGCTGCCAGAAAATACAGAGGAGAAATTATTTCACTTCAGTCTTGTTGGAGAAACTCGTGTTAAATTCTGTAGTCATCCCAACCTCGCTCCAAACCGGGAGGTTTAACTGAGGTGAAATCTGTTACTAACAATCTCTTGCTAGTGACAGGTCAGGCTACCCTGGTTTCACAGCATGTTTCGCCCCTTGCAGTTAACAGAACAAATTGTAATTGGGCCTTCAGTGCCTCAAGGGTAACACACGCCCCATGTACCTGGACAACTGCAAGAGCACAGCTATTTCCTAAAGCCAAAGAGCATTCCTGCTGCTGTGACCAGGAATGTGTCAGCTTTCACACATTACTCTTTACCTTTACGGGCTGGGAGTATTTTAAAAACAAAGCAAAGCCCTGCATTTGACATGTCTGTAAATCCCCATTATACTTTGATTACAAGTATGACAAAACTTCTGACATTCGATTGATTATTTGCTCTGCAAAAAATGGAGGTTTCATTGAAAAATCAAAATTTATTCTGATTTGTTTTTCCTAAGCAGTGATTATGATTATCTAAAAGCACAGTCAGACACAGCCCAGGTAAGAGTGTGCAAAGCTCAACACTTCAGTAGCACAGTAACAGGCCATGAGTTAGGGCCTCCTGGGCTGGCTCTGGAGCGCCTGAGTGAGCCCCAGGGCACAGCAGGGCTCCAGAGGCTCCAAGAAGAGCTGCAGCAACCTGTGCCCAGAATGGAGCAGAGCCCTGGCACAGGAGGTGTAGGTTAGAACACAGGCACAGCATCACTTACAGGAAGAGGGCCCAAATCGTTGGGGTTCAGAGATGCTTTGGATCTCAAATGCACCGGAAACTTCAGCCGTGGATCCTCCTGGAACACAGGTATGCAAGTGTAAATCCAACAGATCAAGGCAGATCTACAAAGTCAAGCACAGACTCTGGAAATCCTTCTATGTTACAGTTATTCTTTTCTTTTCGGAGAATAAACCAAAACATGCCTTGTTAGGATTTCTACAGTGCAATGACTTCCAGTGCTGAATAAACAAGGGTGATGACTCCATTAAATGTGTGCTGTATTCAGGGATATGCTTCAAAACCCACAGGCCTGTTCTTAGGATGCCTGCACTCTTCTACAACTGCTTTTACAACCACAGGCACATTTTTGGCTCTTTAAAACACAAAGACAGGTGCCATGCTGGAACAGGGGCATGCAGCAGGAAGACAGGTGGGACCGTGGCCCAGGGCCCCGGCTGGAGCGCGCTTACCCAGGTGGTGGTCTTGGTGTTGTGGTCGATGAAGAAGGGGCGGCCGTTCGGGGCGATGCGCATCTCCCAGCCCGGGGGCAGGAAGCTCTGGGCCCCCTTGTGCTGGGGCTTGGGGGAGTTGTAGGGGGACGGCTGTGGGGACTGGGGGTTGGACAGGGTGTCCTTCACCGCCCTGCGCACCGGAGAGTCCTTCATGCCCTGCGGAGAGCAAACAGAACCATTGCACACACGGCACTCGGGGCTGCAAAACCAACCTAACCTGGCTTCACAGCAAATAGCTTTTCATTCCTCATGGAATTAATACCAGAATTAAATACTGGGGCTGATTTACTACAACTTAATTACCTCTATCTGTGCCTTTTAACATGCCCAGTCCTTTGCTGTAAAGGACATGGTGTTCCGTGCCTTTCTCTGCAATAACAATGTCCCCGGTATTTACACCTGACTCTGCCTTCCTCTGCACCTGCCCTGGATGTGTCCACATTTCATTTTACCAAGGAAAAGACAAAAGCAGTGTTTTGTGCTTCAGGGGCAATACACCTCATTTACAAGAAAGCCTGTAAGTGCAAGGCTGTGTGAGCCACAGCTCTTCAACTCTTAAGCATGAAGAGGAAATCTGAAGAACTGGCTCTCTTCAGCACAGCCATGAGTAGCTGAGACAAGAGTTTGAACCACACTGCCACAAGTCAAACACGCACAGGCTTTGATTGCGTAGGGAGCCACTTCTGCTATTCCTCAGCCAGGTGACAGTGAACATCAGTGGCCAGCATTTGGGAAGACGCTTAGGAGCGACGCAGGGAGGAGTGTGGGTGCGGGAGCGGCCGGGGCTCACCTCGAGCGGCGCTGACAGGGTGACGGTGGGCGAGCTCAGGCTGCGGGGCCGCCGGATCTGCGGCTCGCTCAGGTGGTTGCTGCTGCTCGTGCCCGGCCCCACCATGCCGTCCTCGGCGAGCTGTGCGGAGCAAAGCCAGGTCACAAACACTGCCCACGTGCAGGACACGATAAAACTGATGGCATTGTTATCATCACTACTGTCCTGAACCAGATTTCCTTAAAGGCCAAAAAGGGTATTTAATGTAATTCCACTGGAAGGGCCAAGAGCTTACAGCTCTATTAATGGCTCGAGCCAACTTTCACATTTAATCCAAAGAACACATTTGCCTCCTTTTAAGAGCCCTTCTGCATCTCTGCAAATTCCTTCTCTTGCAGCAATCACCTTAACCCTGTGCCTTGACATAATTAAAAGTAACCAAAACCACCCCAAATTATTGCAGCTTTTTATGATTCATCTGTATTGTCATGACAATGATTAGGATATTTCCTTTCAATTGCAGCTTTCTGGAAGCTGCCCCAGCTGAATGCCCCTCAGGCAAGCCAAGTGCTGGCTCCCAGGGAGCAGCAGGGTACCTGCATGATGGGCCGTGTCCACGTTGTGGTCCGGTTGTTGTGGTTGACGTAGTAGGTCCGGCCCTTGGCATCCTTGCGCTCCTCCCAGCCTGAAGGCAAGCCCGGCGTGGTGTGCACGTAAGCCACAGAAGGCTGCTCAGGCAAGAAATCATTGAATTCTTATTTTATAATAGATAAAACAACTTTACATTTTAAACTCTTGCTTGTAAAAAGAAAAGCAACTTGTTAACTTACACTCTTTCTTAATCACAACAACCATATGGAAAAATCCAGTTTCTGATTTAATTCAGGCTCTTTATCATGTGCCTTTGAATCAAATAATTTTTTTTCTCCCAAGAGATCTTTTGGGTCAGTTTGACACAGATTCAGCAAACAGACAAGTTTATATGCCCTCAAACATTCTACTTTGTTACACATAATGACAAAAAGGAACTCTATGTTTTAGTGAGTTTTCCTTAAAAGGCTGAAGTTTCTTCCTTTTATCGGGATGGATAAGTAAGAGTTAAATAACCATAGAGTCTAGATCTCCCAAGTCCTGCTCTCTTCATTACCCCAGGGTATCTTGATTCAGTTGCCAGAAACTACTGAGGGGTTAAAATGTTAATCATTTTGCTCTGTCACAAATGCTGCACTTGGGGCTTCTGTGTCCCAAAGACACCAGATAAGCCCAAACTGAAGCCTCAACTTCAGCATGACAGAAACTTTTAGCAAAAGTTCCACAAGCTCCCTGTTCTAAGAGAAGCATACAGGTAAGGGAAGAGTCACGTCCTGCTGCCCACAGGAACTGTCCCTGTGTGTGGCTGACCTTCTCTCGTGTCCGTGCTGTCCCCAAAACATCCAAGCACGAGTTCATAGACACGAGCTAGGAACTGGAACCAAGGGGGACGAAAGACCTGCCTAATTCAGAAGCTGAGGCACTACAAGCTCTGGGCTTTTGCCATGAAACAAGGCAAAAGGCTCCTGCTGAAATCCAGGACACATTCTCTTCCTCCCCACTACATTCCTTGCTTCAGCAAGATAATGAACTTAATTCTTGCTCTTGCTTCATCTCTGCCAGACCTTTCCCAGAGCAGCTGCCACGGGCAGGGCAGGTGCTGTTTAAGAGCAGAGCACAGTTGACACAAGGAACTGGACAACTGTGGGGATAACGAATAAAGGAAAGGAGAAAAGATACTGGATGGGTGAGGAAGCTGACATACTCCAATAGAGAAGAGAAAAGAGAGGAAAACAGGTGAGAACCCAAGTGCAGACTCAGACTCATTTCCTTCTCTCCTGGAGAGCCAAGGGCTGTTATCCCCATGTTGGTTCCCAGAGCTGGCAGGCCATGAGGAGAACAACTCAGAGATGGGGAGAAGGACACTGCCTCTGGGCCTGAGCCTGGCTCCTGCTCCAAGGAGGGGATCTGTAGGGATTCTGAAGGCAAAACCAAGGTGACAAGAGACTTTTACTGCTGACAGGCTGTTCATCTGCAAGCATCAGGTGCCCAAGGACCCAAGAGAATGCAGCCTTTGAAGATAAAGGATTTAGACCTTGAATCCTGTGTAAGTCCCAATTCCTACACAGATCTGGGACTCTGGGTGTAAATGCTGAACAAAGTCGGGGCGGGGGGGGATTAGATACTACAGCATGATGAGGTAAAACATCTTGGTATGGCAACACTAATGATGAGTCAAAATATTAATATTTAGCTCCATCAAGTCTAATCAAGACAAGATGCTCTACCAAGGGAGTACCACTATCGTGCAAGTTCACCTAGCAAAATTAACTAACTACTAATGAGTCAGGCATTTTATTTAGACTTTGCTATTTGCAAGTGTGCTCCTCTGGTTCTAAAATTAAAAACCAGTGAATATAGACAATAGAATGATGCATCAACACCCAAAGTAAGATTTATTTATTTCCCAGATGCAAATAGCAATTTATAGCAATTATAGATTAAATTTCTTTCTCTGAAACACATTCTCTAGGAGGGCACTAATTCATAAAAGCCATTTATGATAGTTACTGTAAATGATTTCCGTCAAATAACTCACTTCAGACTGGCAGTTAATTAGGTTAAAGGTTCAACATATATAATTAGAATAAAGTTCAATATAGATTAAACCCACTTTCCTTGTATCACACTTTCAGCAAAGCATACCAAGAATTTTATGGAATGATCAAACTACAGTCTTGGACTGCTGCAAAACTGCTGGAAAATGAAACTGGCATTCAGTAAGACCATTAAGAGCTCTGTGCTATATCACTGTACCCCCAAGGCTCTCAAATTAAGACCAACTTTAAGAATTAAAATGAATTAGTCTGGAGGAGAGTCATGGGAAGACAAGAAGACACAAGATGCAAACACAGCTACATGTACAATGATTTGATGTCTCTAATCACTGCAGCTTCCAGTACCTACAAGAATTAGCTATTGTAGCTTTCAGGAGCCCAAGGCATTTACTTAGTGCACAGCTTTGTCATAATTCAATGTCACATCCAAGTCCCTAAACCATGCCAGTATTTGAGTACAATTGCAGTGTTTTCAGAAATGTTGAGAAAATTTGGGACAAAATTATTTAAGTTTTCATTCAATAGCTGTATTTCATTCAACACATGGCTGCTTTTTTTTTTTCAAGTTCCTCGTTGTACAAGACCTAAATGTCCCCCCATTTTATCCAGAGATAGTGCTTGATAAAGAGTTTTATTACCGTTGGCTCCTCTCCCCCTGTGACAGTTGAAGAACGAGCTCTCCTAGAGGGACCATTCTGCTGTTAAATGATAATTAACGTTACACAGATTTACTGAAGAAGGTCACAGGTTACTGTCACATCTTTAGGAGCAAGGCATCAGACACATTTGCCAAGAGAGAGCAGTTAGATGGAAATATCAAATCTGAAAGTCATCAGTCACTGGTTACCAAGCCAGAATCCCAGAGGAGCGCTGGATTTAGGAAGAACGCGTACTCAGTTGCCAGAAGAGAAACGATCATTAGCTCAGGAAGGATGAAATGTGGTTAAGCTCAGGTAAGGTGATGTTTAGGGCAATGCTCAGTGCTGCTGATTTGAAATGAGTGTCCCTCAAGAAGCAGGAGAAAGGCCCGTCTCTTTCTCCCCAGCCCACGCCTGGCCCCTGGGTCCAGCATGCTAAACACAGCAAGAAAGCAGCCCAGCAGCCCCTGTTCCTCCTGCAGCCAGGCACAGAGCTGCACTGGGACTGTCCCCAGAGCCAGGGACAGTCCCAGTGCTTCAGCTACACTAAATAGCTGCTACAGCCAAGAGAAAACCTCTGTGGTTTCTGGAAATGTTCACCCAAGAGCAGCAGAGAGAACAAGCGACAGACACACCAAACTTCTTTGTATGCACAGGTTTTCTATTTGCACATTCACATGGGACATATTTATAACTTTTAAAAATGAATAAAAAACTCTTGGAAGAAAAGTATAATCTTTTGAAAGATTCTTTTGCAATCTGACCAGTTTTATTCAAAAGCACACCTTGCACACTCCTATTTTAAGTGGTCTCTGTACCTACTGCTGAGAGGTGGCAGAAAGAACAATCTGCCACCTCTGCAACCCCTGCATGTGGGCTGTAGGAGAGGCACAACGTTCTGTCAGCTGGAGCGCAGTGTGCATGGTTCTGATAGGAGAGAGAAGCTTTGTTTACAAAACATCTTTGTATCTTTTCCTGTTTGAACAATCTCCTTAAATAAACCTGCAGAAGTTGCCTCCTTTTCACTACAACCAGGCAAAACACCAATCCTTTAACATTTTAGAGAGATTTATAGATTGCAAATGAAATCAATTTATGGGCCACAGAAATATGCCTGCTATCAGTCCTGTGGCTGCTCCAGTTCCAGGTAGAGCTGGCTCTCCTGTCCTCTCCTCCCCTGGAGGAGTTTCTCCACTGAGTGCACACAGGAGTGCAGTAACCTAAATTTCCATGGTAAACAACTGAGGAGAGAGTGACGTGCTCAGTCTCCAAACATTTTCCTGTCTCAGGAATGTCCTCCTTTTTAAGCTCACATGAATTTGGTTTGGGACAATCAGATGTCCACCTTGGTGCCTAACTAGAGCTGGCCCAAGGCAAGGTGTTATTCAGAATGAGAGAATCCACCCAAAAAGGAAGGAGCTCTGACTTACCAGGGATAACTGGGACTGCTCAGCGACTGCATCTGTCACACTGCAGGACCTCAATCGTGAGGAAGGTTCTCTTTGCTGCAAGGAAAAAAACAGAAAGATGTCTCCACGTTAGGGTGTCTTAAAACATTATGTTTATTCAGAAAATTCAGTAATTACACGTACTAACCTCTGAGAGCTCAAAGTCTTAAAAATTAATTGATTTAAACATTTATGGTATTTCTTAAAAAACAAAAAAATCTGTTTCAATCTTCCTCTTTGCTGCTAACTTTTGAATTGGTTGTGCCTTTCCCAAGACACATCCTTCATGACTGTGAGCTAGAAACAACCCCCCCCCTAAAAAAGCAGACACACATCATGTCTGACACTACAATGTAATTCCTCCCCACCAGTCCAGCTGGGCACTCCAGGGCTGAGCAGTGTTTAGGAAAACACAGCACTGACACATCTGCAGTAAAACCAGTGGGTGCTACTAAAACTGTAGTTCTCAATACAAGCCCAAGTGCCTCTGCCTGCAAATCCAGGAGAGCATCAAAGCTGTCACTGGCTGACCAACCTCCAGGTGATATTCCCATCAGGCAGAGACCAACTGCACTGGCTCTTTGGGAAAAATGCACCTAATCAAGATTCTGTTGGATGAGAACAGAGTATTTCTTATCTCTTGAACTGCAAAGGTACCTTGAGAGCATTGTACTAAGAATAAAAAATAAGAGTATGATGCTCTGTTTAATATTTACAACTATTTTTGTCATCAAAGAGACATAAAATATTCCCCCACTTGTACATGCATTATCCTGATTTTTTAATGGCATCTGACTAATAGATAACACAAATAGACAGACCATTTTTTTGGTTTTCCCTTTCCTTTGGAAATTCCTAGCCTGATACCCTGGACTCTCATCTATTTTGTTTCACTAAAGGTCTAACAGTAGCAGAGTCTGAAGTTAAACTCACACAGAACTCTTGAAATCTGAACAGAGGAATTCTGTTGTCTGAGGCAGTTTGCTTGCTGGTGAAGCTGTTTTTTGGAAGGGAATTTTAACTACATGCTCAGGTTTTCCCAAGCCCAGCAGTCACTCCCCATGCACAAAGTGATTCAGGTTATGCCAAAAAAAAATGCACGTTTCTGCACTAGAGCTTTACAGATGACAAGTTACGTACAATCAAAGAGCCGAGTTGTTCCCCATTGGAATCAGGAGTGACCTGGAGTCTTCTGCTCAGCTCCTCAGACAGCTCCTGAGGACTGGTCCGGGACACCGGAGATGCAGGAGGAGGTGGCAGTGACAAGCTCAAGGAATCCCCACTGGCACTTGCCTCCTCTGAAATGGTTTCCCAAGGCTAACAAAAGAGAAGAAACTAAGTTCAGATTTTATACAGACCAAGTCTTCTTTCCCTTTGCCTTCTGTGTGATCATCTCGCTGTGCCCAACACAAACAACAGCTTCTCTTCACCCTAAATCAAGGCACTACAAAAGCTAAAGCACAGGGCAGCTACAGCCAGTCCACTTCCCTTTTTTTTATCATTTATTCCATTGTTGTTTAGAGCAGAATATGAAAGTGTTTCTATCAATGTATGTAAGACAAGCAATTTGGAATGATAAATGTTTCTCCCAGCATTGACATGGGACTCAGTGCTGCCCATAGGCCAGCAGGCAGCTGCAGCTGCACAGGAGCCTGGCAGTGTGCCTCTGGCTGCACTGTCTTTGTGCTGCTGGCATCTTCCCAAGCAATGTCCACAAATGCTGTGTAAAACCACGACTTTCTGTGCAGCTCACATGTGAGAAGCACAGCAGCTCAAAGTTTAGTCAGCTCCTCAAGCCCAAGGCTTGGGCTTACCTCAGGAATGTCTCCACTCTCCACAGGCTCTGGCTCCAAATCCTCGCTGATGTGGCGCCGAGAGCGGAAGCGCCTGTGAGCTGCCTCTTGGTTTATCTGTCTGATATTGTTATCTGACTCCGAGCCCACGTCGCTGCAGGCGGGGAACCCAGCATGGGAAGGAGCAAAGAGAGAACAAGGAAATAACCCAAGTTAAACTAAGCCCCCCATTTTGTCCACTGCCTTCAAAACCTTGGTAATGCTTTCGATTATAAAAACCATCATTTATGTATGTATCAAACTTCATAATTAGGAGACTGTTTAATCTCTCAGTTGAAAGAAAATAAAACTGGAAGCACTTCACAAATATCACAGAACATCAGGTTGGGAAGGAGGTCATCTGGTTCAACCTCTGCTGGCAGGGAAACCATGGCCTAGACAAGATGACCCAGCACTCTGTGGAGCCCAACCATGAATGTGTCCAGTGCAAGGGGGATCCAGCACTTCCTTGGACATGGTTTAGCAGCGGCCTTGGCAGTGCAGGTTAAATACATGATCTCACTATAACTCCTAACACTGTCAGTTATTCACTCTGTAAAATGTAAGCCTGCCACAGCTTTCTAAAGCTAATCTTGAGAAGGTATTGCCACAGAACTCTCTGACAGCACATCCTGGGAATGAAGCCTATTCACAGAGTAATAACCAGGATCTCCTCAAAGCCAATGTGTTCAACTTCATTTAAACTTAGTAGAGTTGACTTTTTTCCTTACCTCTTCAACAGTCTCTATAAACAAAGTAATTTCCTCCTGTCAAATTACTTACTGAAAAAGTCCTTATCTGTCTCCCAATATTCTAGGGTGGTTTGTTAATGCACTGCCTTCCCTGGCATCCCAGAGCTCCTGGAATTTCCCAGAATACTCTGTGTCTCTGTGATCTGCTGGGAGCAAGCAAGGTCTCTTTCAGGCATAAACAAAGCACGATTTCCTTTGTGCCTCGAGCCCCAGCCTGGCTCTCCATCCCCCCCAGCCCCAGCTGCTTACATGAGGCTGGGCCGGTGCCACTGGGTGCTCCTGTTGTTGTGGTTCACGTAGTAGGTTCTCCCCAGGTTGTCCACCTTCTCCTCCCAGCCAGGGGGCAGCGGAGGAGGCGGCAGCTCCTCCTGACGAGACGCGGCATCGCTGGAATCCACCACGTCCCAGCCGTGCTTAGGAAGGAAGGAAAAAGACTCTGTGGTTACAGTGTGCACCTCATTTCAATGAGAAAAGAGCTAAATCCCCAGCGGTCTATTGAAGAGGGATCTCCAAAGGTGGCTGGGTGGTGGCTTGGTGCCAAAGAGAACCAACTGCCAACTCTGTTTCCAGGGCTTTATCCTTCAAGTGCAGCTGACTCTACAAGTTTTCTTGAATCCTTCCTTGAGGATTCAGCCTTACCTCAGAGTCATCCCTCTGATCACTATTTTCTTCCTCTTGGCCACCATTTTTGGGCATATACGCCATCTTCAGTCTCAAGAAACCCTTCACACGAGATTTGTGGCTACAAGACAAGGAGGTACATTGCATTTAAGAACACTTAAATAATTGCAAATAAAAAAATCATGAAGTAAGAAATGTTTTAAAGTCCTCAAATGTTTTAAAGGTCCTTCCTCTCACCTTCTTGGTCTGAGGAGGAAATCCTTAAATGTGTACGGCCTCTCCATGGTTGGGTCTTCAGTCTGTAAGCAGTGGAGAAAATAGCAAATTAATGGGCTTGCCCACAAGTCCAGCCATATAAAGAACATTCACACATCAGGCTGACAGATAACATCTCTGAATTCTACTGAATCCTAAGTTACCTAAAGCCTGGAATCTTGAAAACTTTCTGTTCCTTGAGAATTTCAGCTTTCTTACCAAGTAAGTCACATCCTTCACATGTGCAAGCACACAGCTGCTGTGGGCACAGAACTAGGAATTTCAGATGCCAAGGGAAAAGGATGATGAATCCATACACACACTTCCCCTGCTGATTGTCTGGGGAGCCTTACGCTAAACTTAAAGCATGAGCTGTGTTACACTTGGCAGCCAAACCCCACACAGCCTCTCCTTTCAGTGCCTGACCCAGTGTCCGCTTTCTCTGGGAGAGACACACTGCTCAGAGATGGCAGATCTGAACAAGCTCACCAGGACACCAAGGCATGCAGGATTCTCACTGCTGCTCAGTGCTCAGCTGGAAGGGACGTGATCCCAGTAAGGAGTGTATTATTTACCCAAATTCTGTCCAGAGTAATTAGATGGTATTGGAGAAAGGAGGACTTTGACAAACAAACCAGCAGGATGAGAACACTGATTATTAATTTGTTAATAAATACATCCCAATGGCTCCTACCAAGGTAAGGAAGGATGAGTGCAGATGTACAGTGTGCTCCCACACCTTTCCAACAGGTAACTCTCTCCCTGGAACGGAGCAGAGCAGGCAGGGAAGTGCCTGCAAGGGCCTTCAGTGCCACAGCTACTGAAGGAAGGACTGCTCTGAGACACAGCAGCTTTGCTATGGAAAATGTCTGAGGGGCAAAGGACTCTTCCCACTGTCCCATGAGGGCTATTTAGATCATGCCTGTGCACAAGGATACATAAATGGAGATACCCACACAAGCCTAGGCCAAGCAACTCTGCACAGCACAGCTGGGATGACAACAGCTCCCATGAGAAGGGAGCCACACATTTGTCACCAAGAGGTGTTCCTGATCCTTCCCTTGTAGCTTTCCACTGTTACAGTTTATAACCCAACACACTCTAGATCAACCATAACAGATACATCTAAACAAGCATCACAGTGCAAGTCGTTACAAAGCAATTTTTCTCCTACAATAACATCCATCAATAGCAAGAAGTCAAAATTGGACACAAAAAGCCAGTTATGCTCAACTGACATGTTAAGATTAACATGCACAACATTTAAAAAATATTAACTACATTCAGCCAATGTTAGTCATCCAAAACAGTACATAATATCAGAAGTGTTTGTAACAAGGCTAATGCAATCACCGTATATACATACACATATATATTTATTCTTATTTATAAATCTATAAATAGAAGTTGCACTTAATTTAGCATCTAATTTTACAGCCCATGCAGAATCCTGGTTGCTGGGGGGAAACCAGACAACTTTACAGAACTACAGAACCAGCTTTACTCTGAATTCTGCCATTAATTAAGAAACAGAAACAAACATTACTACCTTCAAACCAAACACCTCAAATGTCTATTGACAATAAAATGATTCAAACCCTGTGTCAAATTACTTTCAATTGATTGCTATTGAACTCTTACTGTTGGCAAAGAATTCAATTGCAGCTAAAATAATGAACAGATGACATAGTTCTGGCAGCCTTTTGGCTTTTCATGCATCTGCTGAGGCAAACCTGCTCACATGAAGCTTTTTTTGCACAGAAAGTGCATCCCTGTCCATGCACAGCTGATGCATCTCCCTGTCCCTGCACAGATGAGGCTAGGTTGTCCACAACAGTTTATTTTAGGCTCTGCTGGGAGCACTTGCTTTAAGAGAAAGTGCACAGCCCCAGGGCTTTCCAGAGATCTGGTGCTTACCGGGAGGTGACTGAGCGGCACATCCACCTGGCCCAGGAAGTCGTCTCGGGTCTGTCACACAAAAGTAAGCTTACATCAGAAAAGCAAAAATAATAAATATCAATCTAGCCACAATGAGACAAAAATAAAGATGGTTGAGTACCATTATTTTAGGAAACCCTGGTTTCTACCCCTTATCGTTGCCCATTATTTGTTGCTGTAATTGATTTATCTTAGCACAGTATTTCTCGTGACACTCCAAACAGGTTTCTGAGCCCACAGCACATGTGGTGGTGCTGACACATTCTGCTTGGGGGAACCATCAAACCAACCCAGAGCCCCCCAAGCACTGAGGAGCCCCAGGTGGTTTCCTGTTGAAGGGGGACAGGTCCAAGCCTTCCTTCATGGACTGACAGTCCTACACCTACCCACGGTGGGAGCACCTCAGCCAGCAGGGTGAATTCCAGCATTTGGGGCCCTGGCTCGAGGGACACTTGGGACTCACTGGCGCAGGAACTGTCACCATCAAGCACTTGTGTTCTTCCAAGCCCCCAGGGAAGGCGGCTTCTGTTCAGATACTGTTTGTGACACCAGATATCAGCCCCAGTGATTCCCAAATAACCTGCTGCCTATTTATAACCATGCTATGCATGGAATTCCAGGAAGTGCATGCTGCTGCTGCACAGTCAAGTTTACATATTTCTCATAGCAGAGCATTAAGTTTAATATTAAAATTAATATTTTATATGATAACCTCATAAGAATTCTGTTTCTACAACAAAGATAGGATGACGTTTTGTGATCCTCACAGAATGGACACATCCTGCTGTGCTGGATGCTATGGAGCAACACAAAAAGCACTAAGGAGACCATGGTTTTTCCAATTTCAAGTAAAAAATAGGGAGTAGATTTTTCATTACAGAATTTTGACTGCTAATCTACTTCCTAGCAAATACTAGAAAAACCTGGTAGCATGCCCCATTTTTAGGAAATTAGCATGTTTTCCCCTTAACACTGGCAAATCCCAAGTACTTGCCACCTCCTACTTCAGTACAGTCACTCCAGTAACAACTACTCTGAAGAAAATACACACCTGTTGCTACATCTCTTCTTGCAGCTTTTAGCTCAAGAAAAATACAACTCATGGATACAGGAAATGTTCAGGTAGGTTAGAAACAGCCTCAAAGAACCCGAACCAACAAAATATGCTTGTAGCTTACAGTGGAACTGGAAACCCCTCAGTCCCAGCCAGCTCTGTAAGCAGAATCACTTCCTCATCTAATTCTGCATGCATATGTTCACCTAGGCATTCTCACTTTGGGGCTTCCTGCTTCCAGCAAAGGCACCTCATGAGCCACAGGAACTTTTTCCACAGCCTTCTTTTTCCATTTCTCTTTATAATGATGCTCTTTGGGGTTTGCCGTTTTTTTTTCCTATGTTCTCTGTATTCTTCACACATTGTAACTCTGTCACCTATCATATTAGTACCTAGATATCCCAGTACTTTTCCATAGCCTTTCCCTAAGCAGAAAGACAAAACAAATTCCAGAGCTCCAAGCCCTGGGAGGTACAAGGCTCCAGTACTATCTTGGTTCTTCCCGGGAATCAAGACTGAGAACAACCCTTCAAGGTATATTTTCATGGACAAAGTACAACTAGTGCTGAAGAGGGGGCTCCAGAGAAGGGGCTTAACTGGGGGGAAATTGCATCACCACTTGTCCTCCTCCTAACTGGTGCTTTTTATCAAATATGCTAATTTCCTAAAACCTATAAAGATGTACTCACCCCTGGGGGTGTAGGCTTTTATGGACATCTTTCCACAACTACTCCTGAAGGCCTTCAAATGAAGATTACCTCCTTAATGAAATTATTTCCAGGTTGGGAAAAAAGCAACAATAACAGTGTCCGTTTTGAGAAATTCTCTCTCACTAAAGTTCACAGAGCCATCCAAGGCACCAGCCTGCTGGATACAAGGCACCAGCCTCTGTATCACAGTATCACACAGTTAGCAGTGTGATACCGTGATACAGAGCTGACACACAGCTCTGTATCACAGTATCACACTGCTAACTCCTGCTCCAGTCTGATCCCCCCAGACAGTGAGTAATCCCTTCTCCACCACAAAGGCACAGGATGCAGATGCTCACCTTGAGTAGGACTTTCCCAGCCAGAAGGAGTGACCCCTCAAATGCCATTGCTCCCTCAGTATTGCTCCTGTCCCACCTGGAATGTGGCCTCTGTGTGGGCAGCAGGACAAGCACACACAGGCAGGGGTGGGGCAGGGCTCAGATGCTTTGTTAGAGTCTTACTGCAAAGCCCAAGTATAACAAAAGCTATCCCAAAATTTCCTAATTAGCCTTTAACACTCAGAGCAATTGTACCAAGTTTCAGCATCCTCTGGTCCACCTGTTGGGTTGGTTTAGCACATTTGTTGTGGAACAGGAGAAAGTCAGACACTGTCCTATTTTCCAAGGAGCTCTCTTGAAATGAAAGGTAATCACTGCAGTGTTTTGGCAGACATAAACACCCCCCCTCCCTGTGCTCAGGAAACCCAAATCTGTCCAACCACCTCGCTCATGCATGCATTGATCCTGCAGGAAAGCAGCACCAGGCTCACACACACCAGGCATGGCAGGTGTTCATTCTGTGCACTGAATTGTCCTGAGTGTGTGAGGGACCCCTCACACCTGCACAGACACTGCAATGAAACCTGGTCATCACTGCATCCCAAGAACAGCCAACACCTCAGCTGTCCAGTGAAAGACAACGGGAAAAACCAAGGAAACACTTCATTAAGTGTAATCAGTAGTCAGTGACTGAAAAAGCTGCAAAAACCAACAGAACTACTTATAAATTCTAACTTGTGCCAAAAAATTAGGCTGTAATTTGGTGCTGCAAGCCAGGAAGAAAAGCCTGGGATAAAATTGCAGTGCTCTAAACACCCTTAGTCTCCAAAGCAGCAGAGAAAGGAAAAGCATCTATTGACACTTCAGTTCAAACCAGAACGTTTAGCTGAGCCTCGGGATTGTATACATGCACATCAGCTTTACTTGGAACCACACAAAAGTATGAACAAACGGTTGCATTGATGCTCATTTCAATCACTGAAGCTTGTTGTTTTCCAGAAGGGAAAGTGTCAATAATAACAGTTCAGCTGTTTGAGACTTGTTCAGCTCAGCTCTAGAGTAAAAGGTAAATATCACCTGAGATGTGCACCCGTAAAGTAAAACAGACATTACAGCTGTTCCCATGGAACGCCCCTGTCTGAAAGCACGATCACCTTGGCCTGGGAAGCAGCAAGAGCCACAAACCACAGAGCCGTGGCTCACCCAAACTAAGCACTGGACAGAGGCAGTGACAAGCTGTGAACAGAGGAGCAGGCCCCCGAACCCGCACTGCTGCCAGCCAGGGCTGAGGCTGGAGCACTGTGGGTACAGAGCTCTCAGAGATGCTTTGCTTCCCTGGCCAGACACCAGGCTGGGAAATAACACTCCACCCACCTGCAGTTCCCTTGGCATTTTGAGATGATCAGATCAGGATGTTCCCAGCTTCCTGACCTGAAAATTTTAGTGTACTATTTCTGGGCACTGTTTAAAGAGATGCCGCATTCCAACCCAGATATTGCTTAATTTCAAAGCAGGCAGACATGATCCCTACAGTAAATTTAACTGGTTTTTAGTGGCTTTAAAGTAAACCAGAGTTCACACCTTTTTCAGACCACAACCACGCTGTGCCGTGCTTCAGCACACAGCTATGTGCCTAAATTATTATCCAGGTGGAAACCCTGCTGAGGTTCAGAGCCCATCTTCTCTTGACATTTATTCTAAATATATGACAGCCGTGTTATTTCCAAACTTTTCGAATCGCTGCAGCCCTGGTGGGTGACATGGAACGTGATGAGAGTGGCTGTGAAGGGTGCTCAAGGGAACACCGTGTGGAACACCATGTGGAACCTGTGCCAGCAGGGGTTTGGTGGGAAAGAGGAGAGGGGGACAGGGAACCCAGCCCCTGGGGACACGGCAGCTGGCTTAAACCTGCTGATCCTGACAGCTACAGGCCAAAGGCACCGTGCAAGATGGGATAAACCCACTTGGCAAAGCCAAATCCCAGGCTCTCAAAAGGGCATTCTCACCTCCACTGAGCACTCAGCAGCCACTCTGGTACAACAGAAGTGAAAAATTAAGCACGAATTAAGCCAATTTTCCTGATGTAGTGCTTAAACCCAGCACTTGAGATGCGATGTGCCTTTGCTGCCAAGTCCTGGAAAACTGCTCCAGAAGTGGTCCAGACTGTCTGGCTCAGACAGCACCACATCTCCCAGCACAAATACAAGAGCTGCACACAGCAACAGGAAAAATACGAGAGCAGAAACCACTGCTGCCTTCCCAGAGAGCTACAGGAAATCACCTGTCTCACCTGGAGAGAAAACTCTTCTGAACTGTACTTTTACCAAAGGCTTTAAAAATGAAAAGGACCCCAAAAAAACAAAGAGGATTTGTGTTCATTAAAGTATTGTTAATTATTAAAAAAAAAACCAAAAAAACCCAAAAAAAACCTAGCAGCAAACCACAATTCTATTAATTGAAACAAAGCACGTTTAACTGCTCTCAACTAACACCTTAAAGTATTAGTTAGCCATCATAGATGTCTCTCTACACCTAAGGCTTATCAACTCCCTGATCTCATTCTCATGAATAAAGCTACAATGATACTTTTATGATAATCCTCTATCATTTGATTACATGATTACTAAAATTCTTAGCTGGAAAGTTTCAGCAATCTTTCTTTCTTTCTTTCTGAACTGTAATAACACTCTCTTCATTTATATAAACTCTCAGAAATTCTGCCACTTGCCACTGTCACCACTTCTTTCTTAAGCAAAATATTTTCAGCAGCACTTCCCAAGCATAACTAAAATTCCACCTTTCATTTGCTAATAATGGCAACTGACTATACTTTTGCAGTGGATCTCTGCAATCTGGCTCTGATATTTTCACTGATATATTCTTAATCAAGAATATTGCACTGTAACCACAGAAAAAAACCCTAATTGATGTGTGTGGGGGTGGTTT